CCTTCATACCCAAGTCTACTTATCTATTCCTCTGCCACTCCTTACTTTGTCTGGGTTCTCTTTATCTGCCATTCCCTTAAATGGTGGGGTTCCTTTGAGACCTGTTCTAGGGCCTCCTTTCTATTCTTCCATTCTACTACTCACTCTAGGTAAAAGCACTGTTTGCCAGCACATGTCAGATAATCCTTGGGGAATCCTTTAAAAGTTTGTGAGTGCTTTATGGTAGTGGTGGTGAGCTTAACTTTAAAAGAAAGGCTGGAAGTATCCACTTCCACTGATTCAGTTACTACGTGTAAGGAGTCCCACATACATATTTCTAGCTCAAACTTATATTCTGAGCTTCAGCTCACATATCCAACTGACAAGAGTATATTTCCACTTAGATCCTCACAAGTACCTCATGATCTACATATTCAAAAATAACTTGCTAACTTCTGTTTAGCCTCCTTCCTAGGCGCATGGCTTTATCACCTATAAGTTACCCAAGTCAGTAATGTAGGAGTCACTCTTCACTCCTTCCTCCCTCTCATTCTCTCTTGTTAATTACAAACTTTCCTCATGACACAAACACCTCCCATTAGACCCCACATCCTAACACTACCATATTGGGAATTAAAGTTCTAACACATGAACTTTTGGTGGAGACATTCAAACCATAGCAACCTCTCTTACACATGAGATTAAAACTTTATAGTTAACACTATAGGTATGTTTTACACTTGGATTGAGCAACAGCTTCCTCACTGGCTTTGCTCCAGTTTAGCTCCCTTTCAGTCCAAAGTGATACCCCGGAAGGAAGGATCACAGTTACAAGGGCCTTTAGGTTCTAATTATTTTGCTATAGTTACATTGAAAATCGGGCTCCAAACTTTCTGACAACCAAGGCAAAAATGAAGGAAATGTGATCTTCCACACTTCATAACACTTGTTCTAATGCTAATATTTTGCTCTAAACCAAATTTCTCAGGAGATTTATGTAGGAAGCAATAAGTGATATAATGGACAATACCCTCTATATTATTCCTAGTTTCATCCAGCAAATATTTATGGAGTATTTACTATGAGCTAGGCACTGTGTTTACCACTAGAAATTAAACAGTGAATGTGGTTTTAAAAAATCTAGTCTCTGATTAAAACTGAATTTTGTATAATATTAAGTGCAACTTTCTGGGGGCCATTTGGTGTAGAGAGAGCTTGTTTCTCAATCCATCCTTGCCTGTAAAACTTGGGTCAAGGCTTTTGTCCTTGAATAACCAGGGTCAAAATAACAGTTGCTCAGTGTTTCTCTCCCTTTTGATCTGTCCCTAGAGCATGATTTCAGGACTTCTGGCTTCCTTTTAAACTTCAGTTCACCACCACTACCATACAGAACACACAAAATATTTATAGGACACCTGAAGGATTATCTTACATGTGCTGACAAACAGCGCTTTCAATTACACAGGGAATCTATCATTGTCCAACCTTGCCTGTTGTGGCTGCCTACAGAGATCTGTAGCTAGCACATTCCCTGCACCTCTCCCACTGCCCTGGCAGGACAAGCCACTGCTGTTGCTTCATTAGGCCAAAGGTGTTGCTAATGATGCCTGCCACATCTGTGCCAATGCAGCCAGAATGCATGGTGTAGACTAGCATTTCTTTGTCCATTACTTCAGGAAGTACAGTCAATCAGATGCTGACCTGCTATTGCCTTAAAGATGTTTCCAGGGCTGTTGAAGCTGCTCAAATACTAGGGGCTTTCTGCACTGAAGCTGTGCTGTGTTTTTGCTGATCTGCTGAGAACAGTACATTCCAGCTGTTGGGATTACATCTCATTATTCAGGTGCTCCCAATGGCTTTCTGAGATCACATATAGTATATCAGTATATCTGTTTGTTTTTGTGTTATGGTTTGATATGAAACATCTCTTAAAGGCTCTGTGTTGAAGGCTTGGTCTCCAATGTAATAATGTTCAGAGGTGGGGCTTTGCAGAAGCAAGTGGATCATAAGTGTTCTGACTTTTGTAATTTGATGGGCTACTAGAAGGAGGTGAAAGCTTAAGAGGTGGGACCTAAATGGAGTGAGGCCTTGGGGAGCCATATTTTGTCCTTAGCTCTTTCTCTCTCCCTCCCCCAACCTTTCTGCCTCATGAGGTGAGCTCCTTTGCTTTGTTCTACCACATGCTCCTTGTCATGATGTTCTGCCTCACCATAGGCCTAGAAGTAATGGAACCAATTGACCATGAACTGAAATGTCCAAAACCATGAGCCAAAGTAAACACTTCTTCCTTCAAGTTGATTTTCTTAGGTGTTTTACTGAAGCAACAGAAATCTGACTAACACATGACACCATAAAATAATGCCATCTACTAGGCAGCATAAAAAACAGACATTTACTTACATTTTTGGAAGCTGAAAGTCTGAGGTCAGGAAGTCTGAGGTCAGGGTTTCATCACAGTCAGGTTCTGGTCAGGTCTCTCTTCCTGACTTGCAGATGCCTGCCTTCTTGCTGTGTATTTGCACACTTGGTGTGTGGGCTTGGAGAGAACTCTTTCTTCCTCTTCTTATAAGGCCACAATTCCATGAAATTAGGACCTCATACTTATGACCACATTTAACCTTAATCACCTACTAAAAACCTGTTTCAAAGTAGTTAAACTGGGTATTAGGGTTTCAATATATAAATTGGGGAGGAAGGGAGACTTTACTAAGTCTATAACAAAGTGTTCAATTTTTTAATCACAACAGGACACACAATAAGACTTTGAAATATAAATCCATGGAGAAAATTGTGACAATGTGCAATGCCCCAAAATGACCCTTGACCAACTGAAGCACATTCAGAACCTCCTAGCTTAGTGAAGAGTTTAGACTCAGGCCAGAAACTATGTTCTATAAGTATGTTGTCTTTACATTGGTTCCAGTTTCACCCAAGGATACAACTTAGAATGATGAAAGAAATGGTCAGCAGGCATATATTTAGACTCTTCTCTCAACTTGGCCTTTACCTTGAGATAGACACATACAGTTCTAGATTGCATCCTGTTGTCAAGATCTGGAAATACAGGTTTGGGATAACTATATATTCAATAGAAACTAGGGCCACAGGTGGTAAGATTACCAGTCAGTTGGCTGCAGTCCTTTTGCTTATCCAGATAAGAACAATGGGTAAACAGAGAAAAGTTCTTCTAGTGCTGGCAATCCCAGGACCTGAGTGTACAACAGTCTAGGGGATGGACTGGTAGACACAGAGGCTCACAGCTCCAAGCCCTAAAAATTAGGGATCTATTGCTCCAGGCTTTAGAAGCCAGGGAATTATGGCTCTGAACATTCAGGTTCAAGGCCTGTTGCTCTGGGCTTTCACCAACAGTGGCCCAGCACTTGCCATCTATTGTAATCCTCAGCTTCCAGCAGCAGTGAATGGCAGCAGCAGCAAGGAACAACATGCAACATCTTCTAGTGTTATAACTCTTGTACAGGTCTCAGATGCTGGAATCCTCAGCCCTTGACAGCAGCTAGTGTTACAATTCTCAGGCCTAGGTGTCTGAAATCCTTGACTCTTAAGGCTTGGCAGCTCTCTGGTGCTCTTCTAGTGACTAAGACCATAATTTCTCATCTTCAGCTCTTCACAGCCCTTGTTGCCTCTTTTCCTCCTCCTTTCTGTTTCACCTGCTTTCTGGAACTTTTTAGCTACCTCTTGTCATTACTACCACTCCACTGCCCTCTCTTTGTGTTACCAGCTTAGCCCATTGTACTAATGATAAAGATCAAAACTAGGCAGAAAAGACCACTTGAGAGAAGCCATTTCTTGGACCTAATGTTTTAACACCAGTGAGAAGCACAGGAGGGTGTCTCCCAGCTGACTCATACCCTGCTTAGATAGCAAAGAAAGAGGGTGTGGCAAGGGTGTCTGCATCAATCACAGCTGTCTCTTCATGAAAATGAAGGACTGTTTGTACCAATCATGGTAAAGTCTCTTATGCAAATGAAGAACTGTGTATGAATCACAAGCCTTCTATTGGGCCATCAGAGGAAATGCTCCCCCTCTGGCCTGGGTGGAAATGGTTACAAGGTCATCTAGAGTTAAGGGGGTTTGGTGGGTTCCTTGATGGCAAAAAGTACAGTGCAATCTGTTTGAAACAGTTGTGGCTAACCTTCAGGAGTTGGAGTTGTGCTTCAACAGCAAGCAGCTGTGGCTGCTGTGTGACCTTCCTCAAGGCAGAAGTGGAGTATCCAAAGCAGCCGGTTCTGCTGTGGACTACCCAGCAGGCTGCTTGACTGATGGTTTTTCTCTCTGGGTCCCTGGGTTACCCAGAAAGCATCTAATAGCTGTCAATCAGGGAGTCAAATCATACTGGCTCAACCTTAGCTTAAACATTAAAAGGATACTTACAATAAAGGCTTATTATGAATTTATTTAATAGTGCTTTAACAATGCTTAACACCTTCTCCAATCCCCAGAGAGAGGTGGGCACCTGTAATCTGTCTCAACAGGTGGTAATTTTTCTACATAAATTAAGGTTCTTAGTCGCACAGGTACGCAAGGCCTGGGTTTTTCCAAAGAAATATTCTACATGTAAGTAAACACATCAGTGAGCATAAAGTTCTACATGTTTGTGACAATTTACACCTGACAATTTTCAAACATAGAAGGGGGATAGTAAATATGTACTTAACGTAAAGCATGTAGTGCTGAGCTTTGCAAATGGTAATCAGCAGGTGTCTGATTCGGCTTCAGCAACATGGCTTCTAGGATTTCAAGGAAGTCTTCTTATTCAAACCACTCCCCTCCACCACCCAATTCTACTTGTATCCTCGCGTTTCGTTCCTACCTTTCCGGCCCGGGCTCAGCCAGTCCTGCAGACCCGCGCTCGGACCAGAGGCCAAGGAGCGCCCAGGCTGAGCCCACCCCGGGAGCTGCGCGCGGCCTTGTGGGAGTTGTAGTTCTCACATGTACGAACCTCGGGACGGGAAGTCACCGCGGAGTCCTCTTCCTGTGCTCCTATGCGCGGACTTACTGGGGACAGGTCCCTGGGAGAGTAGAGATGGGTGGGAGCTTGCTTATAAAAAGAGGAGTCGCGTCTTCTGTTAGTGGAGCTGCTGCGGAACTCGACGCTGTTTCCTGTTCCCTCGCGAGTGTTGCGGCCAAACTTGAAGTGCAAGTTTAAGGTTCTCTAGAGGACGAAAGATAAGAAGTTGAACTCTCCCGGCCCAGTCTCCAGCAGGAGCGGCAAGCCCCGACCCAGGTTCAACTACCTGGAGTGTCTGCTACTTGCATCTCTGCGTCTTACCCCCGCCCCAACTCGGGGTCCCCTTCGAGGCTGGGAGTACAGCGGCCCCCGCTTGTTGGCGGGATTGAAAGTGCTTGGCGGCCAGTTCCTGCGAACTTGAGGCAGCACTGAGTCCGATTCCCGCGGAGGACGTGTCCTGAGCCTCAACTTGCAGGGCAGCAAGGGGCTACCTCCATGATCGTCAGTGTCTTCGGCCAGCGCGCGTGGGCCCCGGTGGGCGTCCTGGCCTCGTTGGCTATCTGGTTCCGCCAGCGGCGGGTGGCCCTTGCTGAGGGGCAGACGGCCGACGGCCAGCGCCCCGTTGACCGCAACCTGCTGGAGCTGAAAATGGTACAGGTCGTGTTTCGGCACGGGGCGCGCAGTCCCCTCAAGCCGCTCCCGCTGGAGGAGCAGGTGAGCGGCAGGCAGGCGAGGACCATGCTTCGGGCCGGGCGCCTCACCTGGACGCGCGCGGCGCGAGCCTTTATGTGGGAGAAGGGCCCGGTCTGGGGCCAGAGGACCAGAGGACAGACAGCAGGAGCCGGCGCTGGGCAAGCTCTGGCCCCTGTCCGGCCCCCACTTCTGCACCGACCTCCGAGCTAGAACAGCTGCAGACACCCCCTGTAGCGTAACTGCGCTTCCTAAGGTGCCTGGGGACCAGGTTAAAACGCAAATTAAGATTCGGCCGGTGTGGGTTTGGGACAGAGATCCAGCATTTCTCACCAGTGTCTGGGTGAACTTTTCCTTACCATTTTGGGCAGTTACTGTGTTTTACAGTTTGTCAAAGAGTGGTAGGGACCTTTGCAAGAGTAGCCGCCCTAAGTGGGAATCAGTGCATAACAGAGGTTGGTGACACTTTGCGAACAGATTTTTACAAGTCCCCCGACCCCTTTTTTTTTCTCCCGGGTTTGCTGGTGCACTTGAACTCTTAGCAAGACTTTTTGATTCTGTAGTAGAAGAGATTTATGGTGGAAAAAAAATTTAAAATTGGCTAGTCTTGTGGTTATAGATCTGCCTGGTTTGATCAGGGTAATTAATTAAAACACAAATAATTAGGTTTTTTTTTTTTTTTATGATTATTCTTCCAGAATGGGACCTTTCAGTGCTATTGTGTGGCTGGTCTTCCAGATGCTGGGACTTGTCAAACAGGTTGTCAAACCTGGTTTTAGGTATACTCTTCATGATTATAGTTACTTTCCTGAAAACATGAAAGTTTTATCTTCACATTTTACAACCAACACCCTGTTTTTAATGCTGTCCACACATGAAATCAAACCTCAGAGGCACTTCTCACATACATACATTTTTGCAGGCACCTAATTCTACTACCAGGTTTCTAGGTAGTTTTTTTTGTTTTTTTTTTTTTTTAATGAGTATAGTACTTTCTATCTGGTTCTGGAATTTCTTCTGTTTGATGGTTTGATCTTTTTCAATTCCTTATCTAAACTTTTTACAATAGATCACCAGATTTTCCTCATCATTTTGTACACTCATAGCCTATCTCTTGTAGACCTCTCATCCCCACTATTCTCCATTTATTCTTGTTACAGAAGTAATATATAAATATATACATTATATTCATGTTAAAGACAACCTCAGCAGTAGTGTAACCCGAGTTCTAGGCCGCAGGCCCAATTCCAGGGGACAGCCCCAGTATGCCAAATAAAGAGATGAGTAGCAGTGAAGGGCAGAGGAAAGAATGGGAGAGGGAAAGCACTTCAACTCATCTTCAGAGTACAGACATGAGCTGTAGGTTTAAGTAAGGAAAAGTGTATATAGTAAAGCAGTCTCAGGTTTGGCCTGATTGAGCTTTATTTTAGTTCTGCTTTTACAAGGGGGTCAGGAGAAGTTGTTACTGCTGTCATCATTTGAGTGGAGCAGTCCAGCTCCCGTGAGACACTGACTCCTGCTCCAGAATAGGTAAGTGTCCTCAGTAGAGGGGTGGTCTGTCCTTTGAGGCTCCGCTGATACCTTCCTGGGGGGCAGTTTTGAAAGCAGAGCTTTAGACCCCAGGCCCAAATGCCTGAGATTTCACATGTCAGGACTGGCCACTTTCCTCTCTATACCTCGTTTGGTCTTTACTTAGACATGGAGAAGGGCAGAGAAAGGAGGTTTGTTACCTATCACGGGCAGCCATGGGAAGATAGCATTTTATCTTCAGTCGTCTTTGGGATATAAACAGGAGCTGTAAGTTAAATAGAGGGAGAATTAGGGGCAGGGTCCTCACCTGAGAGCAAACGTCATTGTTGCTGCCAGGTGGTCTGTCCTGAGGAGGTTTTGGTGTTTTCTTCCTTCCAGGCAGTTTCCTCCATCCCTGCTTGTAAACATATTGTTAAGTCCTGTCCTTCCTGGGTTCCAAAGAGATTGCAGTTCAAAGAGAGTGGCTTAGAGCAAAGACACATAGAAAATGGGCCCAAGTAAGGACTTTTCACTGAAAGCAGTTTAGGTACCTGTCTTATCATTAAAGATGATATTGGGAGAGATGGAGGAAAGGAGGGAGAAAGAAAAGGGAGAGAAGGGGGAAGGTTTGGGAGAGGAGAGAGAGATTTAGAGTAAAGGAGAGAGAGAGAGATAGTGTAAAAGAGACAGATACAAAACGGAGGCAGGGAATGCCAAGCTTTTGTCTTGCTTTTAGTTAATTCGTGGCCCAAGTAAGGAGTCAGTGCTTTTTAACAAAAGCAGTTTCTAAATACCTGTTTAAAGTAGCAGAGAATAAAAGTTTGACCTGCAAAACATGGAACATCTGATTTTATGGCCTCACTTTGCATTGAGAGAAGGCACATTACCTCCACTTGCCCACTCATACTCTGTAGACTTGAGACACAAACTTTAAACAACTTTGGTTATGTAGTATAAAGTCATGTGGATAAAAGCCAGTGATAGAACCACCTCTTTCAACTTAGGCTATGAGTGAATGCCACCAGCCTCTTATAACTTGTTTCTGAAAATCCTCTCTCAGTTTTATTGGGATTTTCTAATCATTGTGGTTAATTACGTTGATTGTAGTCAGATGGTACTGCCTAGCCTCAATCCTAAAACTAAAATTGCGTTTGGTGTTTTCTGATTTGGAAATGTTTTCTGGTTTGTAGATAAACATATGTGACAAGTCACTTCATTCAGTGATTCCACAAATCCTTAGAAAGTAGCATTGTTTAAAACTAGATGTTTTATTGAGTTCTTTTCTTACAGCTTTAATAGCTATTGTTTTAACCTGCTTGCTAGAAGATTGTGCTTTGGAAATAAAATTATGACGCTTGATTAACCATTTTTCTGATCTTTAGAGTAGCTCCAAGAGAAAAAGACTTGGATTACTTTCATGTTTCCCTTCAATCCCATCCAGACAGTGGCAAGATGGTCCCCACTAGATGAGTTCCTTGTTTTTTATAAAATTTAAGTTCAACCTACCCCAGCTCCATTGTTATGGCATTTTGGTCTTTATTTATTTGACAGTATAGATGAGTTGGGAAGCATAATGTCATGTCGCTTAATTCCTATGCAAAGGTCAGCTGAGAGAAGTGGCATTCAAGGAAGTATTGCATGAAGGATGTGTTAGTCAGTGTATCTATTCCTCTATGTTGATGGTCCTTAATCTTGGTAGGACATTGAAGTCAACTGGGGAAGTTTAAAAAAATACTCATGCCTGGGTCTTCCTCCCAGAGATTCTGATTTAGCTGGCCCAGGGTGTCCACACAATGAAAAGCTTCTCTGGTGAAGCTTTAGAATGAGCTGAACGCTACAGCATTAAAAAAGTGGAGACCCCAACACAGGAAGATCCAGATGTGATTAGCCAGAATGAGGCTCAGGCATCAGTAACTTTTTAAAAATTTTTCTAGTGATGGCCAATGTATAGCCAAAGGTTTAAAACTATTGCTTTATCCTAAAATCTGTACCTGGAAGGTTTTCTTTACATTTATCTAGATTTTTTTTCTTTGATGTGGAATGTAGCATATTGATCTTGGTATAGAATTGCCTTTGTGGAAATGTGCTTTGGTGAGATGTTATAATTCTGTCTTAAGGGAACTGGGAGAAACAATCCCACAGAACTCATTGCTGTGACTACTGGAAAGATGTTCAATATATTACTGTATCCCCTTTACGGGGACCCTTGGGAGGAATTTGTCTGTTAGCATTAGAAATGGTGTACTTCTACTGAACAGTTGGCTTGCTTTTATCTTTAAATGTGTCTAGCTGAGTTCTTCATTTACATAAAAGCCAGGGAGCTTAGTGTTAGATCTGTGGCCAGCCTATGGTAAGTGTATAGATTGTGCTGTGCATTTTTTCAGTAACCTTATTACTGTATCTATTTTTGTCCCTGTTTGTTTCCTTTTGTCTCTCTTACCTACATTGCATTGGTTATTTTACTATATTTTAGGCATTGCTATTATATGCTTTAAGTTTCTTTTTGAAGATAGGGTACGAATGAAACAAGTAGAATTATCAAGTTAGTCTTTACCATTTACTCAATGAGCAATGAGCAGGAATGAGGATGAGAGTGTGACTGTGGCATGGGGGAGGGTAGACACTATATATAAAACCCTAAACTCTAGACTTGACATGACCTAGACTTCAGTAGTTGTCTCCTGGGAAATACCAAAGGTCCTCTGCTGGTGAATGTGCCTCCAAGATTTCTTAATGAGGTCGAATGGCTCTGTAGATTTGTGTGCAGGCCCAGTCCTGGACATTGCACTTACTAGGATGGTTAAGTTAGTCTCAGCTTTACAGGCACTTACAGTGTGGCAAAGGAGAGAAACAGAACAGATTTTAATTATGGGAATATGGTGAGAGTACTGGAACACAAAGAAGGTAGCTTAAAGTTAAAATGGCCCAAACTGAACCCAGCTTTCCAACTGTTCTTCTCTCTGTCCTAGTTTTAGTCAAGGAGTACCTTTATTACCCTCCCATACTAAGCACACAGGCTCAAGATTAAGGCAACATTTTCTTTCTTCTTCCTTACTTACCTAACAACCCAGCTTCCATCTCACTTGCCAAGTCTAACTTAAAGGTCTTGATCTACCTCTTCTATTCCTACTGTCTTAGATGAAGCCTCAGGTGCTCATGTGGGCTATTGCAGATATCTTAAGATCAGCTTTTCTCTATCTGGTCTTCTCATTCTAGTTGTAATATATACAGCTGGCTTTCATGCTACTCTTTGGAGCTATGGCAGAGGTGATGCTGAGTAGCTGGGGCTCTGGTTCCTACTCCTATTTTAACTAGAGAAACTCCAATTTTTACCGTTTTATATATATATATACATATAGTTCTAAACTTTACTTGGTATTTGCTATTGTAAAAATTTGAAAACCATTCCCAGGTTGAAGCAAACTAAACCAGCTCTTTGCTGTACGCATTCTTCACTATCTCTGCTTTGCTCAAGCTTTCTAGCTATTCTTGGATTTCTGAATGCTACCCTTTCTTCATATCTACCTCTTACTAACAAGTCCAGGTCTTTACTTGTCTAAATCATGTTCATTTCAAATGCCATTCCTTCATGAAACTTCTGAATCCCCAGCAGAAAGAGAAGGTCTTGCCTTTGAAATCTGATAGCCTTCATCTGGTTTCTTAGAGAGCCACTTCAATTCTGATGTTGCTAGCCTCTGCTAACCTGAAAATCCAGGAAAGACAGGGTTAAGTTACCTCAAGCTTGGTATCTCACATGGGATCTGACAAATTGTCAGAGCTATTAATTGTATCTATGGTAGATCCTTTTTGGACATCTAGACTATAAAGGTCATTAGATGACCAGGCTCTGTTCTCATGAAACTATGTCTGCTGACCAGTAAAGGAACTCTCCTTATAGTTTGGTTAAGGCTACCAAAGAGAGCCAGTGAGACTGTCATGGAGGGTCAAGGCTTGTTGGGTCTTATGGAATGAAGGAGTCTTTCCAGATAAAAGGAGAAAAAATTCTAGGCAGAAGGACCGGGATGTTGAAAGGCTAGGAGGTGTGAAAATGGCAGTAAAGGAAACAATGTTGTTTGGCTTGAGAATAAGTTTGTAGAATAAGTTGATAGGGCCATCAAGCAGTTGAGAGCCGTTGAAGTGTTTTGTCTAGGGGAGAGAGCCGACCAGATCTGGGAAGGAGTAATGGTTAACTGTGAAAGAAGGAAGAAGGTGTCTTGCTTGAGGTAATGGGTTTATACTTTGACGTAAGATAATGGGAGTGGCTATGTTTTCTAGCCAGCAATCAACAGGTCTTGGTTCTGGCATGGAGGGGCAGCAAGGAGTCAGAGGTTTAAATTTAGAGGCTGAGAAGAATTGTGGTAGCATTGAGAGAGATTGAGCAGCTTGGAAAGAGGAGCTGGTGTATGGGATTAGAGGAAAAGTCTTTTTTTGTTGTTTTTTAATTGAAGTCATCACATTCAACTCAATGATTGTAAGAATTTATGGGTATTTGAGCTATCAGACCGTGGTCACTTGTGTTGCTTTGAAAACCATTATAGTATAGTTGGGGCAGGAGCCAGATTGCAAGGAATAAAGGAAGATGAGAAGGAAGCAATTGCTTCTTAGACGGTAAGTGCTTGCCTCTGAAATTGGATGTAAGAAAGGGAAATATTACTGTAGTAACAATGGACATTAAGCAGAGTGCTAAGTGGGGGCTGTAGGGCATGGAAAGCTACAGGTTGGTTTCTTAGACATTTTTATAAACGTGGTCACTGATATCATATTAAATTCATTCATTCAGTCATTCATTCATTCACTCAACAAAATATTTGCCTGCCAAGCAGTCTGGCCACTTCTTCCCTGTACTTAGTGTGAGAGCAGCCCTTCACAGTGAGCATTGATGTAGCACTAACACCTGGTATCCTGTCTGTGTAGCATATCCACCTGGAATAATAAATCATGATCATTCCTTCTTTTAATTGGAAGTAAAGTTAAAGTTTCTGTCCTCACTTCTGAAGGGAAGGTTGCAGGCCTAGTGTTGAGTGATTCCAGCCATGTGTTCCAAAGGCTGCTGAAGTTTAATGCTGTGAGTTTCAAACTTTTTTTTTTAACAATATTTTTTTATGGTCACAACAGGTAGAGTGGAGCCCCCAGCTATTAGAGGTCCCACCCCAAACTCAGTTTGATTACACAGTCACCAATTTAGCTGGTGGTTCGAAACCACATTCTCCTTACGACTCTGAATACCATGAGACCACCCTGAAGGTGAGCAATGCTTTCCTGTTCTGGGGAGCCCACTGAAAAGCTTCAATGGTTTTCTCTGGACTGAGTTCAGCTGCCTGTCAGGTTTTCACTCCTCCCTCTCTTTCTTCCCTACCTCAGGGGGGCATGTTTTCTGGGCAGCTGACCAAGGTGGGCATGGAGCAGATGTTTGCCCTGGGAGAGAGACTGAGGAGGAACTACGTAGAAGATGTCCCCTTTCTGTCACCAGCCTTCAACCCACAGGAGGTCTTGTGAGTCACTAGAAAATGAGATGTTGCATCTAGTTTAAGGTCTTGAGCATGAGAAAACCTGTCCTAATCCCCCAGGTGGTTCCCCCTCTCATCCAAGGTAGTTTGAGAGACACTTTGGCACAGTGCAGTTACCCTTATGTCACAGAATCCTGTGAGCAGGTAGTCACTGGAGGTCACAGTCATTGGACTTCAAGTCCCTTAAGGGCAGCCATCCCACAGAGAGGTACAGCATTCTTCCTAGCTTCATGGCACCCCATATGTAGTCTTGAAAGATGTCCAGCTGCTCTGTTCCCAACTGTTCTTAGTGTCTCTGCCTTTTCATTTCTTTCCCAGTGTTCGTTCCACTAACATGTGTCGGAATCTGGAGTCTACTCGTTGTTTGCTGGCTGGGCTTTTCCAGCGTCAGAAAGAAGGTTTGTGTTTGGGGTCTAAAAGTTAACCCCTGTCCCCAAGGAGTTCTTTCTCAATTCCAAACCCCTCTCTCCTTTTTTGGTTCCCATTCCCTTGATCTCTTTTCTGCACATGTGACTTCTGGGTGTACCTATTCTGGAGGACCGAGGGTCCTCCACAGTCTAGCCTTTACCCTGCCTTTGCCACCCTAATCCCCACATGAGCAATATATCAGCTGCTCAGTGTGCTTTTGGCTCCTGACTGCTCTTCTGGGGCTTCTGCATAAGTTACATTAGGCATCCCTATCCAGGTCTTGTGAACAGTAGTGAGACACAGCTGAAAAGAAAGGAGGAACACTGAGCTGGGACCTAACACTGATGCTACTATTCTCATCTTGATGATAAGCCATTGTAGGACCCAGATGGTACTAACAGTGTTTTGTGCAACCTTCCTAATTCAACCAGTGAATTATTGCAGTCAGTAATTCCCAAACTTTTCACCACCAAGGACTGCATTTATTTCCCTCATGGATCTCATGTATTGAGGGCCTTTGGTCATTAAATGAGGGTGCATTTTGTCATTCATAATTTATTCAAATTTACATCTGTTGCTTATGTGAGTTTCAGATCATCATTACTTCACAGTATAAAATACTAAATGGTGTTTGCCATAAGGCAAAGGTTATTGTTTGTTTAGCTTCTTTTGAAGTATCTCAAATAGAACCAAAATTTCTATGAAACTTTTAAAAATACATAAAATAATAGAACTTTCAGATCAGAGGAGGCTGGCATTGGCCCAACTGGGATGGGTGCTGTTGCTGTTGCTAATTCTGGCTGAAATTGGCTGCTGAACACAAACAATGTGTGTGTAGCTACTATAAAGCAGATGGGATGGGCTGCCCCTTACTTCTTGGGAGCCCTTTAGTTTGAGAATGATCCACAATACCTGATCTATTGAAAGTTCTTCACTTACTCGGCTTTAAAAGACAACATCCTTTTCCCAGAAATACCAGAAGTGTGATTGGGAAGAAAGATGTTTCTTGGTGGCCCCTTATCTGCAGGCAGGGGATAGAGGGGGATGAAGACTGAGGATGCCCCTGATTTCCAGCAGTGAAGGACATGGTACACTCACTAGTCTCTGGTATGGCTGCCAGTAGCAGCTCCCTGTACAGAGTTCCAAGGTATTGGGACTCCAGTGTGATTCTGTCACAGCTAATTTGTGCCTTTCCCAGAGTCAGTGGACTTGAATGGGCTAAAGAACATCAGAAAGTGCCATTATTAACTTTGGATATTCCTTGGGAGTAAAATCTTGGAGAAGTGCTGAGTGTTATGTGTAATCTACAGAAAATCAGACTGTAGGGGAAGTTGGAGATTGCTAATCTGCTGCATTTAGTCATTCATTCAACATATATTTGAGTGTCTACTCAAGTGTGTCTTACTTACTATAAACTGTAGTTCCAATCTCCCGATACCAATAGCAGATCCAGATAGAACATTAGAAATTTATAGTGTTATTAATATTGTTTTAGAGCTTTAACATTTCAAGGATTTGGTATGCACCAAACATAGTTCTATGAACTTTGCACGTATTGAATTATTGTGATTACCCTGTGAGGCAGACAGCATTACCCTCTTTTACAGATAAGACAAAGAGAATTTGTGACTTGCCCAGGCACACAAAACTGGCAGATGTATAGCTAGATGGGATTTAAACTTTGTCAGTCTGGCTTCAGAATTCATACTCTTCACCTTGATGACTTGCTGCTTCCCTGGGGTCATGTACATCTGGAGAGGGCATCTGATCATTTGGTCTCTCATTTTTATAACATCCTGCAGAAACCCAGAATTCTTTAGAGGAGTCGTAGGAACTACCAGAAAGAAGTGGGATGGGCCATGCAAGTGGACTATGTTTCGGACCCCCACTTGTGGATATTGACACCTCTTCTTTTATTACTTTATAGAGTAGTGGGTGGGAACATTCCATTGCTTTAGAAATAATTACAACTAGCTGATATAGTCCCATCCCTCCAATTTACAGATGAGCTCCACCAAGGGAAGTGATTTCCCAAGGTAGCCCTGCTGGTTAGTTTTGACTTTGGGAGTTAACACTTTTAGTTTGGTTTCTTTCTTGTCCAGACAGTGTGTCTGAATTCTGATAATACTAGTAAAGTTACCAAAGCTACTTTTAAAAGTCCTGGGGTTCTGACTATCAACATTCATTTGGTAATAAATAGCTCTTTGGGACTTAGATTTACCTCATTACTCTGTAGATTGGCCTCAGTGAATTCCAAATTACTGCTGATGGAAGCTGTTTCTTTTGCCATCAGGCCTGAGCTATCTGGAAAGAGAACCTGTCCCAGGCCCTTGTTTTCTCTGGAGTAGAGTATGGCAAGCTGTTAGAACATTTTTGGGCACTAGAGGAGAACAGGGAGACTTGTAATCTGAGCAGCAGCAGCAGTATATCAGAAATGTTTGTTGTACAATCTTTGGTTCCTAATATTTCCTCTAGAAAGCTAGCTTTTATTTGGAGCAAGAATATGGGGTTTGAGAGGATTTGTGGCCTTGTCACCTTTCTCTGTTCGTCATGTGATAAGTCAACATATTGGCCTATAGGATTGAACTTTGGGAAGCAACAAAATGACATAGTTTTGATCTGTTAGGGACAGCCAGCTCTTTATTGTAATGTCCAAGAGCTGGGTATACATTGAGGCAGGAGTTTTGGCTCAGCGAGGTGCTGGCCTGATCCAGGTCTTTATTTGCTCTAGTCTACTTGTGGTCCAGTAGGATGCATGTGCTAGACAGAACAAGGCTATGACATGCTTTCTTCCATACTCAGGTTGTAGGAGAGTTGTTGGCAGGGCAAAGGCATGTTGAAGGCCCTTGCCTCATAAGAAGGGAACTTGTGATCTGTCTCTTGGAGCAGCTCTGTCTGTAGACAAAGAGAAGCAGGGGGATTGGGGGTGCTGGGAAGAACAAGCTGAAGTCTTTCTATTTGTGCTTCCCACTGCAGGACCCATCATCATCCACACTGATGAGGCAAGCTCTGAAGTCTTGTACCCCAATTACCGAAACTGCTGGGGCCTGATGCAGAGAATCAGGTAACTGCTCTGGGTTCTTTCTCTCTCTCTCTCTCTCTCTCTCTCTCATGTGTGTGTGTGTGTGTGTGTGTGTGTGATGTGATGGCGGTGGCAGGGGTTGAGGGGGTGTGGGAGGGGTGGAGTTTGACACACAGCCTTTCCCCACCTTACTGGCAGAATCTTGTCTGCACTGAGGGCCAGCCCTGGCTCACCAACTCATGGATAAGTATGGGGGATGAGGGTGTTGAACTGCAATCAGATCTGACTTCAGCTGTGGAGGAAGTGAAGGAGCTCTCTTGTTCATGGAGGCAGACTCATAGTAAAGATACAGGGAGCCTGGGCAAAGCCACATGCTGAGCTGGAAAGATGACTTCAATCCAAAATGGGATTCTGCTTTACAAAACTTCATCCTCCCAACAATTCTGGGCTCCCAAGTGGGGCATGTAAGGAAACTGACAGGTTAAATTAGAGGTGATTAAGCCAGTCTTTGACATACAAATCTAGGGATGCAAACACAAGACAGAGACTTTCCATCTCTTACCAATATGCTGCTGTGTAGGGTACATTAGTTTGGGCTGATGACACTTTTCAGTACCCAGATATTTCTGGGCTGTACTAAGACTATATATATATATATATATAGTATATATACACACACACACAGACACACACACATATATATTCTACAGAAGAAGTAATGCTGTTTTCAGGCAGATCTGGACTATGCATAACAGAAATGCCAGAGTAGGGTTTGGAAAATCTAGCCTTTTATTCTAGCCCTATTCCTAACAGGAATGTTAACTTACTTTTACAAGTCATTTGACCTCTTGGAGCCTTAATTTACTCATCTGTGAAATAGAAATAATGCAGCTAATCCTGATGGGTTATTGTGAGGATTTAATGAAGTCTCAAATGTTGAATGAAACACAGTTTGTAAATTAATGACCACTATACAGTAGTAATATAAGGGATTATTTTTTATTTTTTGACAGAGGTCGGAGGAAGTCTGCCATTTTGCAGCCAGGGATCTCAGAGGATTTGAAGAAGGTGAAGGCAGGAATGGGCATTGATAATAGTGACAACGTGGACTTCCTCACGCTCCTGGACAATATGACTGCTGAGCAGGTGGAATAACTATTTTTCCTGAGTCCTGGGGTTGGGGGACCATGGAGTAGGCTGGCTCCTGACTTAGACCTGGGAGAAAGAGAAGTGGTAGAGGCCTCTAGCTTGTTGGCAGCTGTGGTAGGACTTGCAGATGGAAAGGATGGGAGGACTGAGGGACAGGGAGCAGTCAAGGGGGCTCCTCACTCAAGAACACAGACATTTAATTCTTATCAGTTTCTTGAAACATGCTTCTCAGAATTCCTAATATGTGAGTATGTATGTTTAGGGGTAAGTGTGGGTGGTAAGAAGGGAGGTCTTAGGAGTAGGAAAAGAGGCTAAACTTTTACACATAACTTTTTTTTTTCAGATAGGATCTCTCTATGTAGCCCAGACTGGCCTTGAATTCACGATCCTCCTGCCTCAGTCTTCTAAGTATTGGGCTTATAGGTATGAACCACCACATCCATTTTTACATGTAAATGTTGCCTTTAGCATCTTTTGGGATGCTATAAGTTGGAGTCTGTATTTGTTATATCACTTTTTAGAGAACCTATATGTATATCAGCATATTAAAAACCTGAGTCCAGTGTGGTGATAAACTCCTGTAATCCCAGCACTTAGGAGGTATTGGCAGGAAGATCATGAGTTCAAGGCTAGTTGGGGCTACATAATGAGACCTTGGCTAAATAAATAAATAAATCTGAGGTGCCTATAATAAAGAAATCCTGTTAATTTTTAACTCTGCTTTCCTCAAATTAATTTAGCCATAGAATCTTTTTAATGTAATAAATACATAAAGAACACAATGAAAAATGTTCATTTAGATTCAAAGTCGAACACCAGCAGGCAGTATAGCAGCTTCCTTCTCTTGTAAAAATGACAGTGTGCCTTGAAGGCATAAGTGTACCTTGTGCTATGTGTAAATAAGTCTAAAGTTATAAGGCAAAAGATCATATAAAGTTTTTGTATAGCATTCATCTTAGAAATCATTTTAGGGAAAATGAAAGTCAAGTAGAAATTTATGAATTCCATGCCTTGTATTTTAAACTGTATTAAAAAATGCAGTTCAAAAAATTTTCAGAGTAGGTAGACGCCATCAGGAGAGGAAAAACAATTTTTTAAATATTCTGCACCTTCACATCTCTAGGAATACATAGCTTCAGAAGGCCCTTGGGGACATAGCCTCTTGAGTATTCAGGCCCTACCCAGGAGGAGACAGGCCCCTACAGTTCCATGGAAGCAGATGAGCTGCCAAGCAAGAAGCGTGTCTCTCTAAAATTGTGCCTGTGGCCCTTTCAGGTGCACAGCCTCCCAAGCTGCCCTACACTGAAGAGATTTGCATGGATGATTGAACAGAGAGCTGTGGACACAGCCCTGCACATGCTGCACCTAGAAGACAGGTGAGGGGCCGCTTTAACTGTTGGCACAAAGTCATGCTTGGTCAAACTTCCAAGTGTAGGGAAGAGGGCTCATCCGGCTAGCTCACACCTGCCAGCTGGCATCATTGTATAAAATGACTGAAACAATCCACTCTGCTGACCTCCCAGCAGCCTAGGTTCTTACACACTGAGCGGGGGCTGGTGACCTGGTGCCTCCCTTCCTGTTACACAGAACCAGCAGCCATCACTTGACCAGTTGTCTCTTAATCAGTCACTTTTTCCTTTTGCTTTAAGGGTCAGAGGATTTGGGTGAGGGAAGCTGAAAGAGGAATCAGTATTTCATACTGTTTTTATCATGTTACAATTTACAAATAATTTTCACAATCTCACTTTGAGGTAGATGTCAGTATCTGCAGCTTTATAGTTAAGAAATGTGCTGAGAGAGGTTTGACTTCCTTGCTTGGGCTCAGCTAGCAAGTGGCAGAGCCAGGACTTGGACCCAGATCCCCTGAACAGCATTCCTGTATTTACTGTGTCTTACTGGTACTTGGGGTTCTCTTTCTAGAAGGCATCTTCCCTACTACCAAAATAGAAGGTTTCTTCCTTACCAAATTTCAGAAGCCTTCCTTTACTGATTGATTAAGAGCATTCAGCTTGTACTCAGAATAGGTGACTTGGAAGGGGAAGATGGGAAGTAGTGGAATAGTCCTGGTAAAGTTGGGATGAGTACAGTGGTGTGGGAAGAACATCTACCATTCTAGGAATTTGCATAGTCTGTTGCATAAGAAAAGAGCCCCTGACTGCATTGACTCCAGTCAGTGTGTCCACTGTGCACTAGCCTAGGAGATCTGAAGACCACAGCCAAACCACTCACTTGCTGCAACTCCCTGGGACTTGCCAGCTTTCCTTTTTTGTTCAAGTGGCCCCACCAGACCCACACTCACTCACTTCCCTCACTCACCAATTCGCAATGTACATACTTAATAAATATTTTAGGCTTTGGAGGCCATGCCCCCTCTGTTGCAACAACTCATCTTTGCCCTTGTAACATGAGCAACTGTAGATACTATGCAAACAAATGACTATGGCTGTGTTCCAGTTAAACTTTGTTTATAAAAACAGGCAGGCAGGTTGCATTTAGCCACACTATATTTTGCTTTCTTCTGAGATATTGTCCTTTCTTCTCCAATTAGCCCACTTTCACAAAACTGATGTTTTTTCAAGGACAGGTGGTTATAACCTCACAATGCAACTGGGCTTTGCTTGATCATGGTCTTCTGGAAGGTGTATGTCACATACAGTGTTGGTTGTCTGTTCTTCATCCATTGCTTCAACATTGCTTGGATTATGAAGGTAGCAATTTACCCAGTCACCATGAATAAGTGATGAGCTAGTCATGGCAACCTTGTTTATTTTTGTCAGAGATTGGGTTTGAGAATTCTAGGAAAGGCAGTGTTTTGTTTTGTTTTTTAATTATTGTTTTGTTTTTTCCTTTGACAAAAAATGAGAGGGACACACACAAATCTTTTTGCCACTTGGCAGCCCCCATCTTCCTGCTTTGTCTACTACTGACAGGACATGTTTTGAGTTAGTAGTCACTTTATTATTGTAAGGTGACAAGCTTGAGAATGAAAATGATGGAGTTACAGAGGTGACCCTGGGAGCACTACTGCTGAATTTATGAAGTCAGATAAATAAGACACAAATAAGAAGTATCTTCATGATCTGATCTCCAAAAGGAGAGCTGGCCCATAAGGAAACATGATTTAGGAAGTGTTCCTTCTGATCGCTTTTCTAAGGACCTTTTGGAATTCCTGGAAATCACTACCCATGCTCTTCCCAGCTTTGTTCTTCTACTTCTCAAGGCCTAGTTCTTCATAATTTATCCTAGTTACCACTCTTCTACTCTCTTCTCTTACCCCTTGCCTCTCAGCACTGTCATAGCAGGTCTGTATCCTGGTACTTTTTGTTGTTGGAAGTCTTTGTTCACAGAAAAACCTCAACCTTTCTGAAGTGCCATTTCTCTCCTTCCTGCCCATTGCTCTCCCTCCTATATTACTTGCCTTTTTCTCAGCTCCATCTGACTGGGTTCTTGAGGTTCTAGGGGGCAAAACCAGCCTAAATCCCCTGAGTGTCTGCTGAGTACTTCATTGCTATTCACTCTTCACAGGGAGAGCCTTCAGATGGCAGTAGGCCCATTCCTACACATCCTGGAGGACAATCTGCTGAAAGCTGTGGACCCCACTACTCCACCTGACAAGAACAGGTAGGTACCTGGCACTATCCTGTCTATCCTTTGCACAGCTGAGGACAGTGGAGGCCTCTAGCTGCAGGAAGGGACCCTTTGGTGGGGACAAGAACAAGCCTGTCTGTGACTACAGGTAGATGTTTAAGAGACCATGAGTCCCAAAGAGATTCACAACCTTTCTACTTTCCTTTCTGCTGCAGCCCTCCTACCATATTTTGAAAATTTTATTTTGGTCAAAAAGAGCCCTAACTTACTTTTCCTTTTTTACTGATTGTATATGTGTCAGACACATTAATATCACACTAACTTGATATTTTAATAGTCCAAAACAAAGCTGGTTATTTAGTTTGGACACTGTTCAGCATAAAGAACGTGTGATAATCCAAAAGATATTTTGAAATGTTGGAAATGGCTCATGAGTTCTTTGCCACTTTTGTAGAGCCTGGAACCAAGGTTACGACCACAACTTTGGAATGTTATGTGTCCTAGACACTTGCTAAGCAAAGTGTTCTGCAGATAAACAACTTCATTATTGCCCAGGAACTTGTCCAATTCTCAGGCCCCACCTGACCTACTGAGGCCGAATCTACATTTTAATTAGATCCCCAGGTACACTGCATGCCCCTTGAAGTTGGAGGAACACTATTTTTAAATTTTAAAAAAAATTTTATTGTTCTATGATGTTCTATACAGGAGGGAGGAGGTTGTTGTGACATTTCTGTTTATATTAGAAGCACTATTATAGGCTATCTTTTGGAGCGCAAAAGAGATTATGCATAGCTAAACATTTACAATGAGTGGGCAAGGCCTAGGGGAGAGTGAGTTGAAACAGAAACACTCAGGAACGTTGGGCCAAGATTTATAACAGCACATTATGCAAATACCTGCCTCTGTCTTTCACTGTACCTGCAATGACACTACAGTTCTTGCTGCCTTTGCCACCTTGCCCCACACTGCCTTGTGGCTGAAGAAGGCTACAGGATCTAGTGCTAGGCTTCTAGGTTGGGGATCAATAAATAAAATTGATCCTCCTCAAGAGGTATATACTGGTAATAGGCAGATATGATTAAAATAGCACCTTTATTACTGATTAAAGCCATTTGGAGAAAGTGTTGAGAGCCAAATAGGATTATTAATATCCTTTTGAAATGCCTTACATTAGAATTTATATCATATGGTGGAGATTAGGAAGAACATTAGCCATGGACGGAGGATCCAAACAAAGAAGAGAAAGGGTGGGTCTGAGCTACACTATGCTTAGTTTCTTCCTTCAAACTCACCAGAGGAGGAGTGAGTGGGTGGGAAGGAGATGGCAAAGAGAGTTCTCCAGGGGGCCCCTCCCCGTGAAACCATGAGGAATAGGAATAAGGGTTCTTCCACCATCCTTTTCAGAGGAGATTTTCTTTTTTTTAAAACCAAGCTCAACTGATTTCTCAATGTCATCTGGTTTCTGAGGCAAGTGTTGTTCCTTACTCAAAGGAGATAAGAATGTCCTGGCCTCCAAAGCCAAAGAATTATGAACTGTTTATTTCTTGCAGAAAGCTGTACTTGTATGCAAGTCATGATGTGACCTTTATACCCCTCTTACTGGCTCTGGGAATTTTTGACCACAAATGGCCCCCATTTGCTGTTGACCTGACCATGGAACTGTACCAGCATCAGGAATCTAAGGAGTGGTTTGTGCAGCTCTATTACCATGGGGAGGTAAGATCTCTGGAAGGGAATGGTGGTGGTTAGGCACCCCAGCTGATATAGCCAGGTTTCCTTCCTTTGGCCCAGCGGTGGCTCCAGTGGTACCCTCTGCTCTCTGAGGTCTATAGGGTGACTCACAGCTGCAGCTCAGGTCTAGTGGAGAACTTGGCATGTTGTGATGGGGTAGGACATGGGCCTATCCAGGTTTTGTTACCCCTTCAAGAACAGGGCCATACTCCTACTCTTCTCCTGAGTGTCTCCGTTAGGTTGTAACATCCTGACTGTGAGGCCTATTTTGAAGATTAACAGTGGTGCCATTGGGATAGCATCTTGGATGCTTCATCATTATTGATGTCCAGGAAAAAGGGCAGGGCACTCTCCAGAGATGGGACCTTTAGCTCTTTCAGCTTAAGGATATAACTTGACCAAGTCTCCCTGTCAATTTAACAACCATTTCTTGAGTGTCTCTTCTAAGCAGGACGTAGTGCTTCTTATTCTGGAAGCTGACCTTGTAGTGGGGTCTTCCTGGCTATTATTTGTGTATACTCATGTACTTCTTGGGCCAGAGCCCCTTGAACACTGGGCTGAACTGAAGACAGCAGAAGGATGTGGTCCTCAGTAGACGTGCTGAGTTTGGTGTCTTCCACAGGAGCAAGTGCCAAGAGGGTGCCCCGACAAGCTGTGCCCACTGGACAAGTTCTTAAATGCTGTTTCAGTTTATACCACAAGCCCAGAAAAGTACCACACACTCTGCTTCCCAGCACAGGCAGTGAAATCGGAAAATGGAGCATGACTGATTTACACAGCCCAGTTGATTTTTAAATAAAATGGCTTTATACAATGCCTCCAGCTTTGTGTGAGTTCAAGTATTTAAATGTAAAGCTAACAGTGTTTCCTTCCTGTCGGGATAGCAAAGTCTTTTCCTGAAAGAAAAAAGGGGTATAATGTTGAAACCAAAGTGATCTTTCTCTGTTTTGTGGCTTGATTTCTTCTTTCTTTCTTTCCTTTTCTTTTCTTTCAGTAGTAGGGTTTGAACTCAGGACCTTGTGCTTGCTAGGCAAGTGCTCTACCACTTGAGCCACACTCCCAACCCTTTTTTGCTTTGGTTATTTTTCGAATAGGGTCTTGCATTTATGTCCCGGTCAGTCTAAACTGCAGTCCTCCTATTCTTTCTTGCCACGTAGCTGGGATGACAGGCTCGCATCACTACACCCAGCTTCTTTATTGGTTGAGACAGGCAAACTTTTTTCCCTGACTGGCCTCAAACTTCTTCTCTATCTCTACCTCCCAAGAAAGTGGGATTACAGACATGAACCTGGTTTGTGGCTTGATTTTTAAGGTCAGAACATCTGCATGTGACTCAGTCTGTGGACATCATGACCCTTTAGAGTTTTGTTGGCTTGGGACTTCAATTTTTTTATTTTAACATTTATTGATTTTCCTGTTAAGTAGTGGTCATTATGAAGATGGAAAGTACTGCCTTCAAGTTGTTTCAGCCCAGTGGGGAATGCTTCCCAGCCACTAGAACTATGAGAGAATGAATTTCTCTTCTTTTAAAATTATCTAGTCTCTGGCATTCTGTTATAATAGCCCCAAACAGACTACGACATTATTACTAATTATGACCACCATTCCATGCAATAGTCCATTGAAACTTATTCCCCATATCTAATTGAAAAATTGTACTATTTGAATAAAATCTCCCCATCCCCAGCCCCCCAGTCCCTTCTTACTATTCTCAAAGGTAGAAGTATATGCCAAGTATCTTTGCACAAGCTGTTTCCTCTCCCTGCAGTGCTCCCCTAGACATCTGTGTGGTTAACTCTTCACTTGGCTCTCAGCTCGTCATATTGGACAGGCGCCCATATGCAAAATATCTTAGATCTTTTTGCTCCCTCTACCTCTAGCCTCAGTTACACTCTACTGCATTGTGCCCTCCAAAAATTCGTATACTGAAGTCCTAACCCCTAATCTTTCAGATGTATTAAAGAAATACGCAAAGTAATTGAGACCTAATCCAGTATGGCTGGTATCCCTATAAGAAGGGGAAATTAGGGCACAGACACAGACCACATGAAGCCACTGGAAGAACACAGGCTGTCCTGAGGAGAGAGGCCTCAGAAGAAACCAACCCTGCCAATTCCTGATCTTGCACTTCTAATCTCCAGCACACTGATGAAATAAATTTCTGTTGATTAAGCTGCCCAGTCTGTGGTGCTTTGTTATGGCATTCCTCAAAAACTAATATACCTGGTCCTGTCTTTTTTCCAATGTAATTTATTAGTGCTTGGTATTATATGTCTGTTTGGTTATCTTTCTGGCCTTAAGGTAAGCTCTACAAAAGGAGACTTTACCTTCATTCATGGGTCCCCAGCACTAGAATGGTGGCTAACACGTTAGTGCTCAAACATTTGAATGTTGGAGTGACTTGTCTCCTCTGTCATGAGTGTCCTGGGCGTATGATCACTCTTCTTGGTTACTATTGTGTCTTCCTAATGAGTCATACCCTTTCTTGCTTTCCACAACCCTCCAGGATCTGGTTCCTGCTTATTTATCCAGCCTCATTCACCACACATCTCCCTGGCCAGACAGAACTGTTTTAAGAAAAGAAAACTTTCATTTGGCCTTTTTACCTTGGCACACAGTATTCCATCCTCTGATTCTGGACACATATTCTCGTTGCCTGTCCAGTCTCTGATAATCTGTAGGCCATTGTGTTTCTGTGTCCCTTATTAGGGAGCTATCTTGAGTGTTAGTATATGTCTAGAGCCAAGTACAGGGACTGGTACCAAGTGGACCTTACCCAATGAGTAAATGAATTCAGAACTGTACTCTCACTGGCTTCTGCACACTCTCCCCTGCTCACCACTAGGGGGAAATCTAGGGCAAAGGAATACCTGTATTTGTTTATTTATGACCCTTGTATAGGTGTTTCTGAGTCTGTTTATCGTCTCATATAAAATGGAGATAGTTATATAAAATTATTAGGGTTGCTGTGAGAAAACATAAGGAACTTCAAATGTTCTTTTTTCCCCCTTCCTGTATTTCTCCTAGCTTCCCACTAGATTTTTCACTGTGGCATGTTTCCTCAACTGGAAGGGAGCCTTTCAGGAGGCTCCCTCACTGGCCTTCTCTAAGCAGTGCCTCCTCTCTGCCTTCCATTCCTAGGGCAGTGTGCCTGTGGGTACAGGGTATTTATTAGAGTCAAACCCTAACTCCCTCCTTCATGAGTTGTGTGGTCTGAGTAAGTCACTTAATTTCCATAAGCTTAACATTTTCCCAACTATAAAAAAGGAGCATTAATGTCTACCTACCAGACAATTTGGCCTGAGGATGGAAGGGGGAAAGATGGATGTGAAAATCCTTTCATAGACTCCTGTCTATGGCCTTGACTTATCTCTAAGGAGGCCTGAGAGTGCTGTTAAGGTTAAAAGAATTTCTAGAGGGGATCTTACCCTTGGATGGCAAGTAAATGACCTCCTAGGGTAGAGGAGAGTGGTCACTCCTCTTGCATGGTTAGGCCGACTTCATCTGATCTCATCCGGGACTCACCTGATAGATCTTGCCAAGGGCCTCATGGCTTACCTTACAGCACTCTTAGCTCTGACAGTCAGTGGAATGAAATGACTCATTAGACAAGATCAGTCATTGCCATGTGCCAATCCCCTTTAACAGCTGGAATCCTCTAGGACATGGTCCATCTACCTGCAATGGTGTCTGGGAGAGGTTAAAGACAACTATTTTGTCTACTACATGCTAGGGAAGTCTCATTCTTCTGTAGCTTTGGAGCTACAGGTGTGTCCTGGGGCTGCTAGGCAAAGTATGTATCCATTTAGCTACTAGGTAATTCTTTGGGAAAGTAGTCTGTGTGGTCCGTTTAGACTCTGCCCTTAAGTGGCCAAGGGACCCTTCAGCCCTGACCCCCCTCCTACCCCTCAATCTGCCCTGCCAGCCTCCAGAAACCTGGTCTCTGACTAACCTGGCTGGCTGCAGACAGCTGAAAAAAAATTGGGTACAATAAAAAACTGGGCTTCTCACTTCTTTCTTTTCACCTGACCTGTGGGGGCACAGTCACCATTTCTGAAGTAAGGGTAATGCCTGAGAACTTGAGAGGGCACTGATCTTGGAGTAGCAAGCTCTGAGTTAAAGTCTGTACTATCTGTGTAACTGGGCAAGTCTGTTAGCTTCCTGTAAATAAATTTACAGGGTTGGGGATACAGTACAGTGCTAGAGCACATGCTGAGCATGTGTAAGGCTCCGGATTTGAACCCTCGTACCATGTGTGTATATGCGTGTGTGTGTGTCTACATTTGTAAAATGAGGTTATGGGACTCTAATATAATACCTCCCTCTCTGCATTATCCTAGGAATCACATAGGTTAGGGATGTAAAGCACTTCCTAAGATGAAAAGTATTATACGGACTTACAATACTTACGGTATTGCCAGAGAGGCCTTCCTGGCTCCTCCCAAGTGTTTTTCAGCCAGTGCCCAGTGCTACTGGGTAGTAAGGTCTCAGTGACTGAAGGTTAAGATGTTCTAGGGTTACTTAACCCACAGGAGGTGAAAGTAGCACTTACCTTGCTTGGAGTTGAGCCAGGGATCTGATTTCCAGTCCTATCACTTTTCTGAGCCCTGTGACCTTGTGCAACTCCCTGAGCATTGCAGTCTCCATTGTGTATTGAGGGTCATGATGCTGTATGCTAGCTGCTGGGAGTGGGGGCGGAGGGGAGGTGGGAGGTGTTAAGCAAACACCTGTCTTGTTGACAGTGTCTGCAACATGCTAGTTGCTTAAATACAAAATTTCAATCTGCATCTTTTTTATTAGCATATGGTAATTATACAAAGGGATTTCATTGTGAATCTGCATCTTCTTGACTTGGGGCTTATGAAAACTAGAATTCAGCAGCTACAGTGTGCCCAGAAGCATGGATCGCTCCCTGTAAGTATAGAGACTTTTTTAGAGAAGGCAAGTATGTATTTTGAAATCAAATGTATGGCCTAGGTAAACCAGCAAAGGAATCATGCCATGAGGTTGGGGCCAGTGTCAGAAGAGAGTTTTTACTGGTAGGCAAGCAGGAAGTTTTTCTCTGAGACATGCCTTTCACTGAGGAAAATTTGGATTTCAGAGAGATTAAAAGCCTCAAAGGTAAGGAAAGGGAAAGATGTAAGGAAATGGCCTGCACTGAATCACTGCAAAGGACAGTATTCATCAGAGAATTAATTTGGAAGGAAATAGAGTGTAAAATAGCAGCGTAGCTTTTGACTCTGGGCACCATGGCATCAGAAAGCCAGTCAGTGCTTCAGAGGCTTGCTAGGGCTCAGCCTGAGAGCCACCTCCAGAAAGCAGCCAGGGGATACCCAGAGACCACAATTGCTGAGCTTGGTAGGAACTGATTGAGTGTGTAATTAATGGGAGGGCTGTATAACACTTGGGTAAGTAGAACTTGATGGGGTCAACCCAGCAGGGCTTCTGAGAGATGAGAGAGCAGCCCTTGGAGCTGTTAGCAACAAAAGCCAAATGTGGTAAGGTAGACAGAGCTTACCTGGGCCTTGTGGAGAGAAGGATAGAAGGAGTCAGGAAGGAGAAAGGCTGAAAGAGTGATTGCTCCTAGGCCAAAGTGTCCCCACTCTCCAGTACCTCAGTGGTTCAGTTCTTGGAGTGAGGTGGTATTGTGGAGCAATGGAGAAAACCCCAGAAACTGAAAATCAGAGAGACTGACTTGGCCAAGCTTACATAGCAGCCTAGAGATTCAAGGATCCTGAATCATGGTCACTGTATCACACTGATGGTGAGGAGTAAAAGGGAACTGCTTGGAGTGTGAAGCTTCTGTTCTTTGATTATG